GATCACCCGCTGCCTCTCTGCTGTGGGCCTGTTCGGAGCAGGTTAAAATGGCGATGGCCACCCTGTTCCTCGAAGGCAGGGGCTTCTGCATGTCCCTGTGTGGGAGTCCAGGGGCTGCGGGGTGACGGGGCACGGGTGGGAACCTGGGCACGGCCGCTGCCGCCCGGCTGAGAGGGACGCTGGGTRTCCTGCTGGGATCCCTGTCCTGCGGGAGCCAGCGCCTCTTTGGCCGGGTGTGCTGTGGCCCCTGCTTGAAACTGTGGGGTGACAAGGGTTCCCCACGCCTCGCAGCCCTTCTCCGCCGGTGCTTTCCGCCGCCGGGACTGGCCGGCTGCGGGTGGGAGACTCTCGCTTCTTTGGGGGAAATGCGGCGAAACCGAGTGCGGCGGCGGGGTCACCCCCGAGCCCCSCGGGATGCCCGGGAGGGGCTTTCCCGACGGCACGGTCGGAGTAGCAGCGGGCTCCCTCCAGGCTGGTCTCCAGGGCATTTATGTGCATCAGTGGGTTTAAATTGAATAGAGAAGACCCAGGGWGGGATGTGCTTGCATTTCGGGCAGGGATATTTTGGGCAAAGGTAATCGGAAATGTGAAATAGCCTGAGCAATGCTTACTCCTGCTGTGTGTGTGTCCCCCCATCCCCTCCAAGAGCCATGAGACAGAGACTTTTCGGAACCCCCAAACCATCCGTTYGCGGGAGCTGTTTCACCCGGCAGCAGCTGTCGGGCTCAGCCGGCTGCGATGCACTGGTCTTTGCGGAGCACCGAAAATGAGCCCCCGGCAGTGAAAACCTTTCTTCCCGCCGGCGGCAGCGCCGCTGGGGCTGCCTGTGCCTCTCGCCGCGCCGTCGGGGCAGCGGGCGCGGAGCAGAGCCCGGAGCCTCCCCCGGCCCGGTGAGCCGCTCCGCCGCCGGAGCGGGGGCAGCCGGGATTTTACCCCACCCGCTGTAGTGCTAAGAGCCATTCATTCAAARACCCGTACTCACTGGCTCCCGTAATACAGGGTGCAAGTCGAAAACAGTTCGGCTTCACTTTTCCCGACTTAAATATTATCCCRATTTTCCCGCCCCTAATTAAATTYTCTCCTGGGTTTGTTTCTTTTGGAKGGGGGGTTGTTGGTTGGGAGTTTTTTGGGAGGGTTTGGTGTGTGTGGGAGATTTTTTGGATTGGTGGTTGTTGGTTTGTTAGGTTTTCTTCCTTTAAGCATTTACATTTCAGTAGGGTTGTCTGCGCATGAACACATGAATAGAGAAAAGAGAAGGAAAAATTATCTGATCAGAGAATTCCSACTGAAATTCAACCAGGGAACATGAAAACTACCCTTTCACTTGCTCCAAACACKGCTATAAATGTCCTAAGCAAATCACTTGGTGTTAGAGGATAGGCAGCAAGAAATCCTTAGCTTTGCTCATTYTTGGTGTCTGCAACAGCTTGCACATGAAGGTGACCTCCATACTTCTCTAGAGATCTCCTTTTCCTTCAGAACGGGAARCTTTTAATTTTCTCCTTCTCTCGGAGCACAGCCTTCCTTTTGTTTGAATTTTTCAAAATAATTTAGAGATGTGTTAAAGGTGTATCCACTGTAAAAAAACCAAAAACCAAGTAGCAGAATTTTGTGCTGTAGGGCTGTGTAAACCCAGATGGCCATCACCCCAAACTTGATGTGAAATAGAATGGCGATTCACAGTGGTGGAACAAACCAGTTTGTTTCCAGCACTGTGATGGTGGCTTTTGTACTCAGTGTAAATCCCTATCGATTTTAATTGGGCAAACTGCTCACAAAGATGTAGCGGCTCCTGGCAAAGGTGTTACTTCTTAGCATATCAGTGTTTGAGGAAGGCAGGGCTCTGCTGTTGTAGTAGTTGCAGGGTGACTCTTTAAAATATTTGACTTATTACATTTRTGCAAAATGATACATTCGAGTTTGCACCGTGCCAGCAGCTTATCCCTGACATCTGATTACTTTGTGTGTCTCAAGATGTTTAAAAGACAAGGGCCCACCTCCCTCTCCGGTGAGTGAGTAAGCAGAAGTTTTACAGAGTCAGCGTTTGATGCTGAGCCCAGGYACAGTACCTAGTTTTATACAGTGCCACAATAACTATTTTGGTTTGCACCAAGGAACTTCCATTCTCAATTAGCCACCCACCCACTGTTCTGCTAGTTCCTTATGGCAGAGTTCCCTGCCCATGGAGCTTCTGGTGACAACACACTAAAGAGCACTGTTTTAAAGCTCTGATACTTTGAGACTTTTCTCCCCATCTGTTCACTTCTGAGCAGAGGGATGGGTCCTTTGCAAGAATGCAAGGCTGCTAGATGCAGGCTTTGCCTGGGGAAGCTACCCATTCCCAGGAAGGGTTTAGCTGGAGTCTCAGAAGTTGGGTACAGATTTAGCCAGGCTTCAGCTGAAAAGCTGAATAGATAATGCCATTGTCAAGCCTCCAGTGGAGCAGTTTGGCCACCTGCTACTCCCTTTGGATGGAAACAGAATGTTTACCGGAGGGCTTTTCAGGAAAAGAATGTGCTTGCAGGTACCCCATGTGAACAAGGTTCTCTGGAAGAGTTAAGTGTACACCTTTTTTCCTGATCAATTGCAGCTAGGGCTTACGGTTTTTTTTTATATGCTCATCCTCTTCCTGAGCACTTACTTTGTTGTAATCACCAGAATATGTCCTGTAGTCTGTGCTGAGATGAATTCTGAGGACTCGATGTGGAGCAGTGGCAGGATATAGCCCGAAAACCCAGCAGCTTGCTCTTCCTGCAGGGAAGTGGCTGTCTATGGCAGCCCTTCCAGAGGCAATGTACACTCTTATTGCAGTAGAGTGAGCACAGTGCTGATCAGCAGGTCTAGGGAAAAAAATCTGTTGTGCTTTGGTTTYCAGTAAATATGCTGAGCTACCTAGTGGTATTAGGTCTAATCATAGCCTCAAAGCTGTGGCTGGATTTATGTTGATCACTTTAAAACAAATCTCACAGATATATTTAGTAGAAGAATGTGTAAAACCCCAACCCCCAAATGGTATTATGTAACCAATACAGTATTTAAGTGCCCCCTGTGTAAACTAAGTGAAAAGCCTGCTGTTTGCTTTCTTTGCCTCTGTTGTGTATTGGTCAACCGAAGCCGGGTGCTCTGTTTGCTGTTCTGATTACTATTTTAAAAGGAAAGATCCATAGGATCATGTTATCCAGAAATTGAAAAAGACTTAAACCCCCCTCACTGGGCTTARGAGAGGGATCTGGGGCTGAGTGAGAGCCCTCTCGTGGGCTGCCCAGAGGTGTCTATTGCCAGGGGAGCTCGTGCTATTTGAAAGCACACACATCAAGGATACAGCCCCGCACAATGTACTTTGTCTCTTTATTTTGGCATGTGTGRTGCAGCCGTTCTCAGCAGCCTCTGCAATCTCAGCCATAGGGTTCAGCTGAGCTCAGCAAAGATGAAGATATGTTAGTGTAGGGTCAAGGAGATGGTGGGARCTAGTGGGTCAACTGGGAATGTTGCTGCTGCTATATCTAGAACTGTTATCTGGTGGAGAGGTGGATTTCCTCTTGCTTTGAACCAAGAGGAGTTTGTAGGCTTTCCCCCTAATTTACTGTTATTGATCTGCCATCAGCTCCTTGCCCAGTTAAATCCTTTATTCTAGGTGCTGGATCTTAGGAGCACAGTGGTTTCCCATTATTGTTATAATCTTTTGCCAAAGAGAGATTCCCCTTTCTCAGTAATGCACCAAAGTGGAAGTAATCGCTCTTTTTTCTTCTTGCATTTGTCCTTTCCTGTTTCATTCACCGATTGAAAAATGGCTAAAGAGCAGCCCCCATTTCACCTCCCCTTTTCCCTGATTGACTCAGCAGCTCCTGGGACAGAGAGAGGAAAGGGGCCTCGAGGTCACAACCTTCACAATCTTCAAAGCCCCTGCCGCTTCCAGCAGCTGTCACAGCTCTCACTGACCATATCCCCAGAAGGTCAGCAAAAAAATAAACACTGGGGCCCGACAGGTCCCCTTCTCATGCAAACTGGCCATTTCCCTCCCCAGCTCCCATTCCATGCATAGATTACACATTGGAGACCCCCTTGGATTTGCACAGAGCTATGCAAGAGCAAAATGCCACAGAAAATAAAAGCAGAAGGGCTTCCTGGGCAGGCAGGGTGGGAAAAAGAAAAGCAGCTTCCTGAGCTCTCCATGCCCACCCACAGGCTGCTGCAGCCATTTTGTGTGCGCAAAGCCTGAAGGTGAAGCTGGGGAGGGGGCTGACTTTTCCCTGGGAGAAAGACTGCAGGAAAGGATTCAGCTTTTTTATCTGCTTGTGCATGTGAAGGATAGAAGAGAGAACCCAAAAGAAATAGGAAATGAAGCATAGACTGTAAAAGCCTTTTCATCAGGATTAGATTGCATCCCMCTCCGACAGCCAGCCTGCTTTCTGCACTCACCTTCCTCTGCAAAAAGTCATGATGAAGCAGAAATAGTGCCAGGGAGAAGCACAGGTTCAAAAGGCCAGAGCGGAAAGGTCCTTTGCTAAAGGAAATACCCCTCCCTAGCCCTCTTTTATAGAAGTATCCATTTCACCATGGCCACTAATAATCAAAGGGCTATTTCCTGGCCTTCCCAGCACAGCTCCCAGATGCAAAGCCCTGTTCTCATCTCCATTATTGCAAACTCTTCCCCTCCCGCCTCACACACACTTCCCTACCCGTGCTCCCCCATGGCTGAACACAGCACTAGGGCACGACTCGAGTTTTTCAGGCTCCACAGTGAAGGAAGACGCTCGTTTCCTATTCGGCCTCTCCCCACAAGACCAAACGGGTGAGCAGCACACCGGATCTCCGGGCAAAAACTCGTTGAGGGGATTTTTATCTGCGAGGGGGCTGCCAGGGAGGCAGGAGGGGCTCCTGACCTGCAAGAAATCCCCCCAGGAAGAAAAAGCAGGGACAGGGGACTTGGGGGCCACTTTATTTATTTGGTGTTGGCCGGGTACAGCAGAGGGGTTGCCCCAGGCTCTGCGGTCGCGGGGAGCGGCGGCGGGCCCGGGGCAAATGGTGCGCGGAGCCGCTCACCTTGCCCTGCCCCTGCGCGCACGCTCTCCGCCGCTGCGTGTTTAAACAAAGAAAGTTGCACAACCAAAGTMCGTCCGTCAGTGTCGTGTGTATCCCCCCCCGCCCCGTTAAGGTGGCTCTCGGGGGGCGGCGGGACGTCCTGTCCCCGCACGCTGTCACCGGCTCGTCCCCGGCTCTCGCCGCTCCCCGGCGCACTGACGCCCTTTCATTATTGCACTGCTCGCTGCGACCGTGACAGTAGTGCAACAGGGAAAGAGGGGCAGCCCGGCCGGTGGTCCCAGCGCTGGCATAGCAGCTGCGGCAGTCCCCGGCCTGCAGCCCGGCTGCCGGGCTGGGGGCACGGAGGGAGAGCCCGAGTGGGGTGGGGAGATCCTGGCTTTGTCCCCGAGCTGGCCGCCTCCCATTGGAATGATGCTGGGGGGCAGCTCAGGGGGGGGGGGAGTTAAACCGAGGGCAGCGGCAGCCCTACAACGGGGAGGCAGCGGGCACGGCCCCGTGGTGTGGCTCCGGGCCCTGCCCCGCACGCCGCCGGGCCGGCGAGGAGAGCCCRGCCGCCCCGGGGAGACGCGCGGCAGCGGCGCCCGGGGACCGGCACAGAAAGCCCCGCGGCAGCGGCTGCTCCGCCGCGCCCTGATCCGGCCCTCAGTCCCCTCCCACCACCCCTTTCCCTGGGCCCCTGAGGTCCCGAAAGGGACCGCGGGGACCACCTGAAATGGAAGGCAAGGCCACCCACTCGGCCATCCCGGCTGCTGTCAGCCCCCAGCTGATCCTCACAAAGCGGAGAGGAGATTTAACACCCCCATCCCTGCTCCGTTCCCACGTACCTCAGAGAGCAGCTTTCGGGAAAGGGCCGGAGGCTGCTCCCGGCCCCGCTGCGCCGCCCGACCCTGGAACAGCCTCGGGTGCGGGGCACAGCCGCGGAGCCCGGCGGGCCGCACTCGCCGGGCAGAGGCATGAGCTTTGTTTCGCGGAGGTTATTGGGATTAGAGCCTCGGCCTCTTTGTGCTGTGCTCTGCTTCGCATCACAGTGATTTTCGGGCTGGGATCAGGCACAGAAACAGCAAGTATAGCTATGTATCTCCTCCCATCCCTTGGTGGGTGTTTACATCAGTATGTAATATAGACACCCTTCAAACGTTTCAGAACTCATACTGTTTTAAAAAGGAGCCATGATGGGTTTCTCTGGTTTCAATCACTGCTTGTGTTTTAAACACGAGGCCGTTTTGAATCCTSTGTGATAGCATCAGAAATATGCCCATTACTCACAACCTGAGTCACCAGAATAGCACGATTATTTGTCACAAATAACATCTCTGTACAATTACTCGCCTATCTAACAACGCTCAGCATTTCACAACTTTTCCCTTAACTCGGTGGGCACATAGGATTATTTTTTCCTGCTGTGGCTTTCTTCTCTCCATGAAGAATAWCCCTCAAAAGAAAAGACCCTATAAGCAATATTGCACTACTACCCTGATCACAAAAGCAGAGGCAATATTGATAGGGTCTCATCCTTAAGGTTAGGAAGCTGGATAATGTGTCTTGCRGCAGGTGACTGGAGGGAGCTTCATTCCATGCCTGCAAATGGGGAAGGGGTAAAAAGTTAGAAAGCAGTGTACTGCCCCTATGGATCACAGCACCATGTGCTCCTGGGAGAGGGGGGATGCAGGAATGGAGTAAATCTCTGACCCGCAGAATCCGTGCACGGGCACTACCCCTTTCTCCCAGGACGTATTTAACTCCAGTATGTATTTTATCCAGGTTTCTATACCTCAAWCCCCAGTTCTCACCTTGTTCTGTGTAAATTTCTTCCCTTTATTAATAGCCTCAGTCAATTAGCTGCCTAGCTGTCAGAGGCTGGGAAGTGCTATTTATTTGATTAACTGATAGTTGTATTTTGAACCTCTTAGTAACAGGCATCAAGCCCTCAGAGAACTTCCTTTCTAGGGCTGTCCTACTTGGAGAGCCCAGTGTTTTAAATATCCCTCCCTTCATTGGAAATCATGGGATTAAATACACACCAAAAATTAGAAAGCAAAACAGGATCTCCAGGGCTGGCTCTCCAGCACTGATTTCACATTGATGCACACAGGTTAAACAGTGTTTGGARACGCACGCGTGTTTTGCCCTAGTTTGTTTTGTTTGGCTTTTTCTTCTCTTCTCCCTCCCCAGCACCTTTTCTGTCCAAGGCTGCAAGGCACAATCTTCAGCTGGGGCTGGCTCAGTGTTGAACACACTAACAGCCACAGAAATTATTCCCAGGGAAGGGCAGACACCTCCAGCTTCAGAGCTGCTTTGCCAACTAGACTCTTCCTCTCCACTCTGGCTCCCAATTAACCTGCCCCAGCGCATTTGTCACGTAGGAACACTTGAGAGTCCAGAGGAAGGGGAAGGAAATTTCATTCCCAGGCCATCCCAAACCAGCTCATGATTTTGACACATTAAGCTTCTCTTTCCTCAGCCTGCTTTCCAGTGGATTAAATAGGAGTGTAATGAAGGGACAATCCYCTAATTCATGGATTCCTGGCTAATTTATCCATGCCACATTGATCTGGTCTTTGCCATTAGAGGTCCCTGGCTTTTGGCATGCTGGTGTGAGGCAGCCCTGCATCCTCTTTGATGCTGCTTGACTTGCCAAAGAAAAAGGAACTGGACAAGCTCCATTCAATGTTTGGTATTTTCTAATGCTCAAATAAAATCACCAATCTGCCCCAACCCCTCCTTCTCCCATCCTTCGTGATGCTTGTGGAATAAAACAGGGATCTTTTTTCCACATTATTTATTTATATTAAGTCTTTGCTCACGTTAATTAAAAGGCCACATTCACAGAGATTGCTGAAAGCAGTTCAGAATTGAGTTTTATCAAACTACTTGTATTCTCGTTACCTTGGCAAAACCTCAGGTTTAATCCTGCCACTGCTTCTCAACAATCCCTGCAACCTAGACATCCAGTTGGACTGAGAACATAAAAAAAGATGCAACTAGGCTCAGCCTTACCTTTCCATCTATTCCCGTCCAGTCTATTTTGTTTATTGTTTACCATGCCTTTTCCACTCTTCAGCCTCGATGTTATCTCAAACAAGACTTAGACATAATACACACATTTTACCTTCTCCAGTGGCCAAAAGACAAACCCACTGGCAAGTTTWCAGTGGAAACACACAATCTGCACATGAAGTGATGTTGCTGATGCATGGATAGTGTGGGGGGGAAAGCATGATTTGACGACTTCCTCACAACTTAAATACTTCAGTAGTTGCACAAACTACAACTGGGAGCAGAGGGTAAGGGATGTAATTAGAAACGTCAGCCACAAGTTAAGTTCCAAGCAAAGGCAATTAAGTTACTTTACGTTTCTGGATCTGTGCTGAGAGCCTAGATGCGTCTCAAAAATGTCCTTATCTCTAAGTGGTGTATTGGCACAGGCCTCCCCACAGGTTGCTTTTTTCTTTTTTTTTTTTTAGCAAAACAGGAAAAATAAAGATTGAATCAGCCTTCAATAGTATTCCAATAGTATTCCACCGAGTTTGCAAACGATATGCAAAGCCTRGTTTGCACTATGTCCTATAGCAAGGAGACTCTTTGGAATGTATATGGGGGTTATTTTAAAATAAACGTTTAAACACGAGATTATGAAATGCATGCTATTTATACACTGTGAGGCTCAGCATCTCTAGATATGTTTAGAAACCTCTCTTGCCTTTAATCACAGTTATAGAAACTAAATGGAAATGTCACCCAGACTACTATGGAAATAACACTTTATATGTTGCTCAATAATGGAAGCTCTTTTTTTGGCAGTGCATGTGGGGGAATCTCACTGTATTGGAGCCTTTGCTATGTGTTTAAGTCSCCTTTTTCTGATGTTAGGAGACAAATAGACTGAAGTGTCCTTATGATGAAGCCTTGGGATAAATAAAGTAGTGAGCTGAGCCTCTGGAACCAAGAGGCCTCTGCTCTTTGTGAGATCAGACCTTGCCTTCCCTGGTCTAGCTTAGGGAGCCATTTCCCCTTCCCTTTGTTGCTGTTTTGTTTGTTTGTTTCTCTTGTGGTTAAAGATGCCACTCAGGGCAAGCGGGATTTTTAAATTTTCATCTCAGATGCAAACTCACAAAACATAGAAGGGCACAGTCCAGCCTTGTTTCCCTGGTCACAGCCAGTTCTCTAGCCTGAGGAAAGGAGACCATTTAAAAGCCATCTTGCAATTAAATACATTATATAGTCTACAATATATTTTCTGCAGTGGAATTGACACTATTACCAAAGGTCAGAGCAAACACTTTGGAAACAGCTGTAGGCTGAAAGTTGATTTAGAGTTTTCCATCCAATTTAATAATTTTATCATTGTTTTAAAACTGGGAAGTGTTGCCTTTTTAATTCTNTTTCAAGAGAGAGAAAATTCTTAGCATTCCAGTCCTGGCTCCTTAAGTCTATCTAGCAAGTTTGTACAAATCTGTCCAGAGAAAAAGGGGATTCTTGCTTCCATGCAAGAGTCAACTTGTCCAGGTGTGAGACTCCAGAGAGTAAAGGTTGATAATCCTCTCTGAAAACATCACCTTCCYAAGTGTGTTTCACCCACCAAGCTCAGGGATTCTGTCACCCACAGTCACTTACCAATATGTTCCCCTTCTCCTGAAATCAGGAGGGATTACACTCCAGAATGTCCTGCCATTTGATTCTTGCTTATAATATTTAGTTTGTGGGTTTCAATAACCCTTTTCTCAGCAGCAATATTTCCTCGGCTGGCAGAACCCAGATCTGCGTCAGTGAGCTCCATTAAAAGGAATGACAGAGCTCCTTAAACAGCCCAGACTTTGTAACCCCACAATACGGCTTTTCTGCATGGTGTTTACCAGCGCTCTGCTGTCTGATGGAAAAAAAAAAAAAAAAAAAAAAAAAGACGACTTATGGTACTAAATGCAGGAGGAAAATAGGGCTAAATACTATCCCCCTGGAAGTGCCGATCCCACTGTTGGCCCTCATGTACAGGGCAAGTGAAAGGCCTTGTAGTTGCCTTGGCTGGGGAAGGGCACATGCAGCGCTGATCCTGAGGTCCCCCAAATAACTCTTTCCCCCTCGGCAAGGGCCAGACTCCCCTGATCACACACCCAGAGCGCCCATGGCTGCAGGGGCAGGGTGTGGTTTCTCCTCGGGGCCCCCAGCCCGAGTCTCCAGAGCCGGGGCCGGTGGCACGGCACGAGGGGAAGCGGCACCTCCTGCCCCCGCCCGGCCGCCTCCCTTCCCCAAACCACCCAAGAGCGGCCAGAGCAGGAGCGACCTTAACACAGATCTAGCACTCAATGCAATGACTCAAAAAGTCCCCCTGAAAAAAAAAAAAAAAAAAAAAAAAAAAAAAAAAAAAAAAAAAAAAAAAAAAAACCAAAAAAAAAAAAAAAAAAAAAAAAAAAAAATCCCTCTGAAAACTTAAACCATCTGATTTCACTTTCCGCTCCAATTGGTTGTGTAGCGAGGGCGCAGGTCTGGCCTCCTCCACCACACTAATACCCTATGTGTGCTGCCTCCACAGAGGAGGGGTTCTTTTAACAAGTTTATGCAACAACAGGATGGAGGCTCTGCCGGAGCCCTTCCCCCCGCAGCCCGACCTGATTCCCCGCATTCCTCCCGCGCCCTCCCCCTCCGACCCAACTGGAGACAAACTCTGGCATCTCCACACACATGCAAATGGTTTCCCTTGCACAAATACAGACTCCTGAAGGGGCCTTTGCTTCCGAATCCCCCCTCTCTTTTTTTTTTCTTTCCTCCAGTGCTTTTTTTTTTTTTTTTTTCGCTGTTACATTCCTCAGCCAGGCAGGGTTAAAAAAAAAAAAAAAAGTGGGGAAGGGAGGGTTTGGAATGTGTAACCTCCATCCCAGGCCCAAATCTGCAGGGAACCCCGTCCTCTCCCCTCACACCCCTGGGGCCTGCCTTGCAGAGATCTGGCACTCAGCAAAGGGCGTTTATGGGCTCCACTGACCCAGGCAGAGCCAGGAGCCCTCAGAAGGTTGTCCCTCTCCCTCTGCAAACGGGATTTGGTCCTTGTCATCAYACAGGCCTTTCCCTGTATCACACGCCTCAAATTCCCCCCACGCCCAGGGGAGGTTTAGAAGTGTAGTGACCATATTATTTTTAAAGACATAACTTCATACAGGAAAACAACTATGCATCTATTMCCCCTGTGATTTCTCCACCTCCAAACAAGGCAGGCTCACATGTCTGAGAGGCCATCTTACAGCCCAGCATCAGCCCCACCAAGGCTTTCACTAGCACTAATTTCCACTCGCTGATGGGCTCCACGAGCACACACAGAGAACAAAGCATTGCCCTGCTCCAGGGTGGCTTCCAGCTTCTCGCTGGTCCACCCTCCTTCACTGGTCCACCCTCCTTCGCATCCTCCCTGGCCAGGGGCAGCAAAGGGCCCTYCATGCTCCCACTCTGGTCACTCTTGTGCTCCTACTGATGGCGAGGGGGGAAGATAAGCCCCTAGCAAAGCCCTTAGAAATTTCACCTTCTCCTACCTCTTTATTAATCAAGAATTAGAAGGAAGAAGACAGGAAAGCGCCAAAGCTAAATGGGTCTCCCTGTTCCTCAACACACACAAAAATGGCAACCGTGCTACAATGCAGAGATGGATGAAAAGAAAAGCTCTAGAGAAAGGGAGCCATTCCGGCTCGGGTCACCTCCACTGAGGCTTGGGAGTGCACCACATGGGCCACCAGCACCGTGCCTCTGGTTCACGCACAGAGGCTTAGTCTTCTCCTCTGGGTGTGAAAGGGACACAGCCTTCAGCTTCCCCCCAGAAACAGAGGGGCTGTGAAGGTGCCTTTTGTCTGCTCCCTCGTTCTTTGGAGAACTGGAGTGCATTACTGAGGATTCGGCTTCTCCTCAACCCTCTAAAATGGGACATGCTCCCCCCCTCAGGATGTGGTCCTCCATTTTCTGCCTCCCCATGGCTCGCTCACCAGCAGATCCCAGCCTGGCTTGGGATGTGCTGTGCAATCTGAAAGCACTCGTTTACCTAGATTTGATTTCCAATATGACGGCTCTCCCCACCCCCACCCTTTGCTCCCAAGGTAACAGCTCAAGGCTTCAGGAAAAAAGAGAGAGAGAGAGAGAGAGAGAGAGAGAGAGAGGAAGGTCCCATCCCCCAGCCCTCCAAACCCCTTTCTTAGCAGCTGCAAGCGAAAATACCACATCTGCCTCCAACTACACCGCGAGTGACAGTCACCAACATATTATTATTTAAAGATCAATTCTGAATGCAGTGTTCCTGTTCCTAGGCCTACATCATCCCCGTGTCTCTCAGCCTCGCTCCACATTGCTATTGGGAAGCGCAGGGACAGATTGTCTTTCAAATCCTATTGATTATTATTTAGGTATCTTGTACTATTTTTTTTTTAAATGAAAATGAAGGTATCAATATTCCTTTAATCTTAACAGTAATTTCTCTAAAAGTGAAATACGATGGAACTTGAAAAATTCATCAATAGGAAGCAAAAATTAAATTGTCTGTGAATACATGTGTGTATATTAAAGTCACTTAATTCTACACACAACAGTAACATCCTTAGGTTCACAAACCCCTAATTTTTGGAGCAGAAGYAAGAAAATATTCAAAGCTGGTCAGTATATTTTTAAAGGTGGTGATTGCTCTGAAGGAGGACAAGAGGGCTTTAAAATGTGAATAGGCCAGCTTTTTATTTTACAACTTGGACACACAAACCCAAGCTAGTGGCAGAAAGGGCAATCCATTTTGTACACTGAAGCAGTCAAAATGAGGAACAAAATCCAAGGAATTTCCATATAGACCACTCAACACAAACACAAAATAAACAAACAAACACAGGGCTACACAGGGGTAGGGATTTTTTAAAGCAATTTCTACACGATCTTGGCATTTTAATGCTCATTTGAGTCTTTGTGGTGGAGGGAGGAAATCAGAGTAGGGGGCTGGTTCCCTACTAAAATGCATTAAATAACTACAGAATGCCATAATGTCAGGGGCTGGGTGTGCAACAGTAACTGATCATAAAGGATGTATTAGGACTGGAACCAAATGCTTTGACAATATTATTGCACTGCTTTATTTGTGCAGACAGTAGTGCAACATTGTCAGAGCCAGCGATACCAGCAGCCACTGTCACGTTCTGCACAGCTGTCCCTGCATCCTTTTGTAAGGGACTGTTACATTACAGTGTTAACCACAATAACGTTTTTATGTTTAGCYCCAATAAAACTCTGCATGACAAAGTTTATTTGCAATCGTAATTAGACAAGGTAAAATAATAATAAAAAAAAAACCAACAGCAACAAAAAGTTAGTTTAAAAATGACAGAAAGAGAGGAAAAAAGGGAGAAGGATAGAAAAAGACCACTGTTGGTATGGCTTGTTAAACCATTCAAATCTTCTGCTATATGCCCAGTATATCTAGGCACGGTACGTTATAAAGGTTTTATACAATAAAATATTTTTTTTACAGTACTGGAGAATAAAACAATTCAGCATCCCCAATCATATATGTTTCCATAAACCAAAAATTGATCAGTCAATGAATCTGAACTTGACAATTTAAATAAATCACAGAAAGTGCCAACCCTTTCCTTTGCCTTCAGAAGTTTTCTTAATTGTGCTGTGATTTTATCACGGTTGACCAGTACAGATGAAAAAGGCTGGGGGGTGTGGTGTATATATAGAATGGTATAAATACACAGTGCTTTGATTTGCTATGGAAAATGTTACAGAAATGATGAGACTTGTGTACAAAAATACCTAGTACTTGTGCTTTAATCTCAYGCATATCAGCGTGTGACCACTCAAAAATCACAGCACAAACACCCCAGATTTTAGAAATAAATCAACAGCATTAAATCCCTGTAAACATTGATAGGGACCACCTTAAACATATATAGGGGAAAGTTTCTCTAAGGGGAAAAACTATAATGAAATCACCAAAAATTTCAGTGTAGATATTGAATGGAAGACTGTAGAAATTAGYAATGAATTACTCACAAACTATTGGTAAACAAAGCAGGTAATGGGATGCCTTGAAAGCTCCCAGGAATGTTTGGAGCTTATGTCTGAAATAGGATGTGTTTAAATTATTCCAGCCCATTTCTATAGACAGACACATTAAAATGTATAACCCAGACTCTCTCTCCTTATTTAAAACCACTCCCACATGTATAAAACCTTATTTCACACACGTGCATAAATACACTGGAGGAGGCATCTATTTTAGGGTTGTTTGCCCACTCTGAAGAGGGTGGGCTGCTAAAGGGGGTCATGTTTCTGCCAGCCAATGCCCTTTTAATATTGCACTGCTCATCATAATTGCCAGTAGTACAACAGAAAAAGGGCTCTGGACAACAGCATACTTCAGAGACTTTCCAAAATAAATGATAAATCAGTTAGAAACTTCTCCAAGTGATGGCTTCTGTGCATGTTTTACTCTAAAACAGATTTGTTACATTCAAAAAAAAAGGAGTTTCTTCAACAACCATATTGAATCAATGTCRTTCTGTAAAATTAGATTTTAATATTTCACAACTGCTTCTTCAATTAACTTCAGTAAGAATTTAGATAAGCTTGCTTTAGGCACTTTTTTCCCCCTTATCAATAGTAAATGTACTGCATTAGAGCATGTGAAAACAAATACCAGAACTGGGATTGTCCTGCTTGCATTTCAGCACCCCAGTATTTTACAAAACTAGGTGTAATGAACTAAATATTAAAGACACAATAGAGGATAAGTTAATATCCTTTCTCTTGCTTTCATCTGAACCAGCTGTTAAAATAATTGGTATTTATTACATACATGCTTCTAGCACCTTAAATTATTCACTTCTAATTGCTAAGGAAGTGTTGCTATTTTACAGAGGCATCTAAACAAGCTTTCAAAACAACTACCATCCAGCAGTGAGAGACCTTCAAAAATCACCTACTTGCATCATGAAAACATTACTATTGTAATTTTTCCTTTTTCCAAAAGAATATATGGGTRGTAAGGAGAAAACATCAGTTAATCATTACAAATCAGACATTCCAAATAATTTTAGCAATAAGTAACATTTAAAAGTCAACTTATTAGTCTTTAGGCTCAAAGTGTTTAYCATTTGTTTCTCTAGACAATTTCAAACTTATAGCTGGAAAATGTAACTWCTTGTTAAATAAGAATCACTTGAAAAATTATAAAATTATTTTATTTCAAACAATGCAAAGAAATTCTATGCAAAGAAATCCAAACTTGAAAACAACTTTCCATGAACTGTATAGACAAGTAAGAATCATACCAAATGCTAAAATGAATTAAACTGATTCAGTTCTGGGGGAGTTTGGGCTGAGTGAGTAAATGCACTACATGAATTCTAGTTGTCAMTTTATCATAGTAGTATTAACAAAAAGCCAATTGATTTGGAAATGTCCCAACCCAATTAGACTCTTAAATTGTATCGTTCTTGTTTTCTGACTTCATTTTAATTTTTCCTCCTTTTTTTTTTTTTTTTAAACAATAATTTATTCCTAATCCAGAAACCTAGGCTGTTTTGGAGCTGGGTTTTTTTTGGTTTATTTTTAAAAGGAAAAAAGAGAGAGAAAGAAGGAAAGAAAAAGAAAAGAAAAAGAAAACTAAAAGAATATGCATTAAACCTTAGGAARTTTTTTTAATTCCGGAGCCCCAGGTCTGTGTTCGAGGGTACGAGCTTTCCTTACAGAACTCAAAGACCACACACTGGAGGGAAACGGAGCGGAATTGGGGCAAAGTGCAAGAATGCCAAAGAAACACTTCGGGCTGCGCACCCTGGTTTATTGCAAAAACTCTGGACTATTTAAGCAAAGCATTACTTTTACGAGATTTAAATATTAAGCCAATATAAATACTGGCTGGAGATAGCATGTGACTTATTGCCTCGCTCTTTGGGGGTTTTAGGAAGAAAAAAAAAAAAAAAAAAAAANAAAAAAAAAAAAAAAAAAAAGGACATTCTAAAACAGGATCTTATAGCAAAGCAATTCAAGTGGTATCTAAAGAGATAGGAGCTCTGCTACGTTTAAAAATGGGAATAGTGTTTTGCAGGAGGAGCGCTGTGGCACAATGAGAGCGGGCAGCAGCCGCGAACCCTCCCGTGAAACAGCCCTCGGCGCGGRCTGGGGGTGGGGAGGGAGCGCTCGGCTCCGACGACAAGAATTTCATTCGTGGGATCCCACTCAGTTTCTCAGGAGTGTTTGCATAGGTGAAGTGTTTGAGAGGAGGAAGGGGGGAAAAAAAGCTCACCACTATCTAGAGATTTCCAGCCCAGCCCGCCGGCACTCGTCTCTCTCCCGGCGCTGCTCGGCGCACGGGCGATGCGCTCCGTGCCGTCCCCGCTCCGCTCCCGGCGGGCACACACGGGCACCCATTCCCCACTCCTGCSGCTCCCAAGTTTTATCCCCGGCCCCGCTGCCGCCCTCGGCGGCTRCGGCCGCCCGCTGCTTTCAACACCTCGTATCGATCGCACGCCAGAACGCAAACCGACCAGCCAAACTTCACTCGGAGAATCGCCACACTTACAACGCGGGAGCAAAACGCTCCCGCACTGCCCGCTCTACGGGAAAGCCTCTTCGGGAAGCGCACGGCCCCGCCGGGGAGTCCCCGCACGGGAGGCGGGCGAGGGGCGCCGCCGTCCAGCGACTCCCCCTCCCCCGCCTCGCCCCGCGCTCCCCGCCGGGTCCCCCTGCTCCGCAGCCTCGCTGCCCGGGGCGGGGGGCGCCGCTCGGCCCCTGTCCCGCCGCCGCTCGCCCCGCGGGCCATTGTCAGCGCCGCGCCCCCCRGCACCCCGCGCCCCCCCGGGCCGCGCTCCCGCCATTTCCGCCCGAGCGGGCGGATGCGGCCGCGGTTGGCGGCAGGGCCCCGGGCCCCGCGCGGTACCTGGCGGCGGGAGGGACGAGGGACGGGTCCCCGCGCCGCGGGGGGGAAAGTTGCCAAAAGAGGCGCAAAAGAGGCGGCGAGAGCGGCGCGGCTCCGCAACCCCCCGCCCGCCTCCCGCCGCCGCCGCCCCGGGCGCGCCTCTGCGCGGGTCCCTGATCGATCCGAACGTGGGCAAATCCTCCGGTACCAACCTCATGGCCTCCCCGCTCCAGCCTCCATCTTTGACTAGTTGACATTCAGCTCCTGCCTGACCAACTCCTCATTAGCATACCTCCCCCGCCATTGGCTCGGCCCTGCGCTAGTCTTTGCCACCGCCTCCGCCATTGGCTCCCGGGGAGGATGTTTAAAAATATTACCCCGCCGCCCATTGGCGCCCGGCTGCCTACGTMACGGCACGCTCTTTATTTTAACAATGAATGCACAAACACATTCTTCCATTCACAAATTTTTTTTTTTTCCAGTAGTTTGCCCGCCTTTTCTCCAACTACATTTTCATTGATTTTTTGTTTCAACTGAGGGGGTCTCGGTTGTAAACAGATAAATCAAAGGCGAACAGAAGGGGGACCTGAGCAAATATTATTTTCTCTCTCTTTCTCTCTTTTGTTCGGCAGTGCTGGTGTTGGGGGAACAAAACTGATCCCCAGCCGTCCCCGATCGGAGAGGTGTGGTCGGGGGGGGGCTGCTCTGCCCAAGAGGTTGCAACTATTTTGCGTCTATTTCGGTTTCAAAGCTGGACCTCTTTCCCGCAATTAGAAAAGCAACCTCTGCCCGGGCAAAACAAACCGCTAAATTAGTCAAATTTAGAATAGTAATTATTGCTGTGGGTGTGGAGCGGTTGCGGGGCGGGGGGGCTCGGTGGGTGCGTGCCCACGGGGAGGCTGCTCCTCTCTCCTCTCCTCTCCCGGAGCTGCGGGCAGCGCCCTGCACGGCCACGCTCCTCTCCCGCTCCTCCCGCAGCCGCGGACTGAGCCAGGCAGGGGATTTAATTGTGACCRACTGAAACACACCAGGTCACTTCAGTACACTTTCATGACAAGACCTTTTCCTTTTGTACGCGCGGTTGAGCTGAAATCAGGCGATATCAAAGTTTAAGGGCTAGGGAGGGAAGGTTTCTAACATTTCTTTTGCCCTGCAAATTGTAAAAGACAGGAATCGTTGAAACATTAATTAAAAAAGACTGAGAGAGTCATTGAGAGAGTCCCTCTCACAGGGAAAGGTCTTGGTGAGTCCCTTTTTGGAAAGGTTTCTGCCATATTGTTAACTCACAAACTCACCACTGTGCAGTTGCTTCCCCTTCCAAAGACATAGTTCCTCACTTCTTCAACAATTGATTTCAACAGATGTTTGTAMAATAGAAATGTTTCCATACACCAGTGAGAAAAATTTATCAGCAAACAAACTGGGTAAGATCTGAGAAAGCAATAAACTTTCATGCACTTTAGTGGGCATAAGATTTTTGTTTCTTCCACTGTATTTACTGGCATTTTATTAAGTTACCTCTCCTTTTAAAATAAAGTGTATTTCTGTCTAAATTTTTGTGTTATTTTAATTTTTAAATATCCTTTCATTTGTTCACTACCCTCATACCAAATCCAACCCTAAAATATAACTTGTGTCTGTGTGAACTAAAATTTTACATTATACAAAAAGAAGGATATTAGCTATTTTTAAAAATAAACTAAACTTCCTTTTGTATCTATTCTTGGGCTTGGGAGTTGGTCCTGACTTGGATATTTTCTCCATATATGTATGCATATATGTGTGTAGCCCCCCACRCACAAACATTGAACCCGAGTTGTAAATGCTGGGTCTGGGTACTAATGGGTGGGGACTTGGAGCAGTGGATCTCTGGCAGTGTTTTTGGAGATGGGAGAGAAGGGCAGTGGGCTGTGAAATCACACATTCCTGTCCAATGGAGCTGAAATAATGGTATTGTTCTCTGGAAAAGAGGTTGCTTTTCTCTTCTCCATTCTTCCCCTGATCTGCAGGGACCTGATTGTGCAGTTAATCAGCAAAAAAGCGTTTGATGTAAGGCAGGGCGTGAATTCAAAAGGGCCAGGGGGGATTCAAGAGGGATTCTTCTGTCTGTTAGAAAATGTTTTTCTGATTTCAAAATGGTAGACATTTGAAAAGCTGTATTGGTCTCTCTTCACAGATCCGAGTTTGTAGTAGGTACCAGCACTAATTATATCGCTTCCTTTGTGGGTTTGACACTTTACTGCTTGGGAAAAAAAAAAAAAAAGAAAAAAAAAAAAAAGCAAAGAAAAAAAAACTAGATATCTTACAGCAAAAAGAAAGATGTCCTTCCTGGAGCAAAGGTGAGCCCCTCTATATCTGCAGTTAATTCCTTCAGCTCGCTATCAGTCGCCAGAGAGTCTCCTTATGCCTTGCCACACGTTTAGCATTGCACGATTCAGAGTAAAATAAAGCCCATGGGGAGCAGGTAAGAACTAAGTTGGTTTTGTAGCTCTTTTTGGTGACCTGTGTCCTGAGCATGACATCCACCTCCCCGAGTCTTTAAACACTGAGCCTTTCCTGTCCCACACACTTCTCTGTAAATCTTTCCTTGCCAGCCTTGTCTTGAATGCCAAGAATATTTGAAGCCTGTTTCTTATTTCAGTGTGGTCATTTCCCAAACCTTTTAACAAAATGCTTTCTGCCGATTTCTGCTGTTGTATCCACACAACATTCTGCTATCTTTCCAACGTACAGCGTCTATACATATGTAAGTATGTAAATTCGTTGCTATCCCTTTATTTAATATATTATTATAGCTACACAGGAAATGACACATCCTAGAGAAAGGCAACTGCCTTGGATGTTTACGTGTAAAAACGTGTAACTTTACAGCAAACTCCGAACGGGTTTGTCAGTTTAACTTTGAACAAACTGCAAATAAAGTTAATGAAAGGTCCCCAGTGCCCACCCTCGGTCTCCAGCCCCAAGTCTGTCACTGTGCAGCCCTTTCCACGGGTTCCTTCCTCCTCTGTGAAAGGAGGATTGCTCTGTTGTAATGCTGGATTGATTGATTTAATTTCTGTGTTTCAGGGCTGGGGGACACTGGGGAATTCTTTGGATTTTTTTATTTTTTTTTTTTTGGTGGCGTTTCGCTGCAAATGTGCAGTTGTGCTTTCCTCTTCCTTTGGGAAGGAAGGCTGCTGTTAGTTTGCTTTCAAGAAGGACTCCTTGCAACCGTCCAATGCTGGAGAAGAATGGCGTTTTTATCATTTTTAAACATCAAGGAGGGGAGGGAGAAAAGCTGATTTTTTTTTCTCCAGATCTTGGGGTGTTTTTGCAGTGTAACTCAATCTGATGTCACTGGGGGTGGAGTCTCGTTGCGTTTGCTTAAACTGGAGCTGCCTCAGTTCAAGGCCTTGTGGCTGAAAGTTCTTAAATCTGTGGCAGACAGGSACGTCTATTCCTTAATGAGACTCCTGCTGCAATAACGCATTTTTTATTTTAATCAGCTTCTTAATGCTATTAATTACGATTTCTTTCATAATACTCTCCCCATCTGCAAGGTTAATGCAGTCCCACACGAGCAGCACAGTAACACTCTCCACCGTTACCGTCTGTGTGAAAACACATGTACAAACTCATATAAACCCTGCTTAATTAGGTCTTGAACATGCATATGCTTTGTGGGCGTGGGTGACATGCAGAAACAAAGAGAAGAGAGGGTGGCAAGAAAAATTTCACAGAAGTTTCCAAAGATATTTACAGAGGCAGTTATAAATTAACTTTAAACTTCACCCTTGTAGAGGACTGCTACWTATAGGAAGGATAGATTTGGGGTTTGTGTTTTGTCTTTTATTCCYAGCTCCCTAGCTGCATGCATTTGCTTCTGTGGATGAAACTTCAAGGTTGGCTTCAAAACTAATTGATAAAACTCCATGGGAGACAGGAACAAATAGATACATAAACTGTTCACGGGGCAGCATTGRCTATTCATGTTTAAACTTAAACAGACTGGACTTTTGGTTTGCTTCAACTTCAAAAAATCAGTACCACTCCTTCAGAGGGACTGGAAATCAAAGTTTCCCTCTGAGCTCAGTTAAAATTGTAGTTCTCTTCTCATTTAGACAGTTACCTTCACTATTTTCTTTTAACACACTAACATGAAAAATTAAGTGGACCCTTTATTTAAACACTGATTTGAATGATCCTAAAACTTGCCCCTAAAATATGAGAGATTTCTCCATTCCCATATTTTTAACCAAGTAGTTTACAAAAAAAAAAAAGTTTTCTTTGAATGGACTTTCACTCAGACACATGAGAATTAAACAGTTTGAAATTATTATATGTTTGCATATCTCTCTCCAGATATGTGTCTACATATCACTGAAATTCAAATTGTTTCTTTATTTTTCCCCAGATTCTTATAGTTTTTTAACAAATGCAGCTTGTTAGAGGATTTTTAAGTGAAAAAAGAATCCAAAGAAAAACAAAAATACTATTCACAACAAAAATGCATCCCCCAAAACATTTCAGTAATTTAAAAGCTGTCAGAAACGATTTCTAAAAGTTTAAAATTCACCCAAACTCACCCCCGCCAACCACATTTTTATTTAGACGGAACAATCGTTTTAATGTGATAAAAATGCAGTATTTTCTTCAGGATATTTTGCTATCTGCAGGATTGAAAACAAGAAAGGCAGAGAAATCTCGTTCCTTTCACTAAAAATAAATAATCTTCATCATTTCCTAGCTAGCAGATGGCCAAAAATACCTTACATGTTTCCATAAACATATCCAATCGATAGCTTCAAAAGTGATTGAATGTAACCGAAATGCAGCCAGCCCAAAGAGCTCAGCTCTCTCCTGATCAAACCTCTACAAAGCAGGCTCTTGTGCTCGACTTGACAGTGTCCGAGAGGGAGGGGAGCGGCAATGAGAAAACCAGTCACTATATGCGAGTTATGAATGAGGGATTGGATGGGAGGGAAAAAAAAAAAAAAAATAGAGACGCAGCTAATGCAAAAATCAGTTTAATTCCGTCGGTTTTACATTGATGTGCCTTTGCCCTCGGATCCCAGCGCGGCCGCGGACCCGTAGCTAAACCCATCTCTAGCCCAAAGCCCGACACACATCCCCGCTACAGGAAAGAGGGGCATTGTGCTCCTCGGCTCACATTTTCTTCTCCCCCCTCTTTACTCGTCCCCCATCTCTCCCCCCTCCCTCTTTTGTAAATCAGAATGAGGAGGTTTTATAGTGAGTCTAATTCTC